GTGGAACTCTCTATAGATGTCTACTAAGTCAATTCGTTCAAAGATTTAGCTTGATTCTGATATTTCTTTGTTGGTTTTTTTTTGTCTACTTGACCTATTTGTGAAAGCGTGGTATGGAGGTCCCACATTATCATTGTATTAGTTCTTATTTGATTTTTAAGTCCACTAATATTTGTTTTACATATTTTGGCATGCTGCTATTTTGTGCGTATATATTTATGATTGTTATTTCTTCCTCTTGGATTATTCCCTTAACAAGGCTGTAGTGACCTTCTTTGTTTCTTCTTAGCAGTCTTGGATTAAAATCCACTTTGTGTGCAAATAGAATAGATATCCCTGCTATTTTCTGGGTTCCTGTTGAATGGAATATTTTTTTCATCCTTTGATTTTCATTCTATGAATTTCTATTAGAGTTGAACATGGTGTTCATTCTTGATCAATTCTGCCAGTTTGTTTCTTTTGATTGGTGACTTGCCACCATTTACATAGACTCTTATGTATAGATATGTACTGACTCATCTTTGTTGTGTTATTTTACTATTGTTCATTCTTTTTCTTTTCCCTCTGTGTAATTACTTGCTTTGCCTGGTGGATTCACTCTGTTGGGGTTCATGAAGTTGAAGTCTTTGATGGTTTGGTGATGATGAATTCCTTCAGGTGTTCCTTGTCATGGAAGTACCTTATTTCTCCACCAACTTTGAAAGATAGTTTTGTGGGTTACAACAATCTTAGATGGAGATTGTTTTCTTTTAGGGTTTGCAATACTTCAAGTTCTCCTTGACTTTAAGGGTTTGTGTTGAGAATTCTGCAATGAATCTGATGGGTTTACCTTTATACGTGATTTGTCTCTTTCCTCTAACAGCTTTTAATATTCTGTTCTTGTGCTGAATTTCTGGAAACTTGACTATAATATGCTTTGGTGTAGATTTTGTTTTTGTCATGGATCTTTGGAGTTTTATATGTCTCAGTTACTATATGTCAAATTATTTTTCCATTCTTGGGAAGTTTTCTGCTGTTACTTCTATGAACAGGTTTTTTTATGTCATTTATGCTATCTCTTGCTTTCTGATTGATTCCAATCAATTTTATGTTATTCTTCATTGCATCATCTGAGTTGGATTGATTTTTCATGGTCCCTTGCTATTTTTAAGAAATCTATGATCACTAAATTCATTCCTGTCTTCTAGGTCTGATATTCTATTCTCACATTGGTTAATTCTGCTGTGTATAATTTCAATAGACTTTTTAAACTTCTGGATATCTGTTTGAATCTGTTTCATAGCTTCTATTTCTTTCCTATGTTGGGCATTCATGGTTTCCACCTTTTTCCTAAGCTTGTCTCTCTCCTTCCCCGCCCCTCTCTCTTTTAATCTGTATCTACTCTGCATTCACTAACCATGTCCTCCATATGGTCATCATCTCCATAGTTATTTGAGAAATTATTCCTGATTTGATTGTTTTCTAGAGCCTCCTTAATCTGCTTTGTTACTTCCACTGTTACCACTTCAGAGAGTCCAGATGGGTGGCTTTCCAATTTTTCCTGCATTTTCTGAGTTTGCCTTTGGTGAGCTGGAAGTCTGGAGTTGCACCATGCTTCCATATCTTCTCATTTTCCATTTTATTTTAGTACACTTTCTGCACTGATGCTTGTAAATTGCTTATGACAGGTAGCTTTATTGCTAATATCGAGAACATTTAGGAAATGACTTCTCAGAAATATCTTCCAGATGTAGCTGGCTTTTGGCTTTTGAGTGTGTTGCAAGATCCTACCCCTTCAGTTTATTGGGGATGAGAAGGTGGCCTAGCCCCAGGTTCTTTGGCACTGGCATGTAGTATTGTTCGTAGTCTTCAGCCAATCACAGTCTAGGCATACACAGAAGAACAATTGATTAGGACAAGTATGTTACCTTGACTAAAGTAATACAATCAGTAATAACAATAGCACCAAACATAGCTTAGAAAATGACAAACTATGGTAAATATTAATTTGCCACCTTTAACTATATGAACAAGATGTGTGGTTATAGAACAAAATCTAAAAGAAACCAGAAAATTGCATAAACATCCCCTCACTACACCAATTTTACCCTCAAATGAGAAAAATCTAAAAACATCACAGAAATATAGAGAAATAGAAGGGAAATAGATTAGAAGCAAGGTTGGCAGACAAAGGAAGATTATACAAGCTTTGGGAAACTGATGAAGAAGACAAGATGGAAAGAAAAATGGAAGAAACAGAAACAAGAATAGAACTAAACAACAACAAGCCAGAAACTATGTTCACATTCACATAAACACATGAACAAAGAAGAAAAAGGGGAAAAAGGCAAAGAACAGAAAAAGAAAAAATGTCTACTTCAGGGCATATCTTTGTTGCCACTGGTAGACAGGAGCAGATAGAGCCCCAATCTATGTTAACTGAGCCTGCAAGCCAGCAGTAGAGTTGCAGTGGGGTGGTGGATAGTCCCAGGAAGACTGAACCTTTAGTTCCACCAGTGATGTTCAGGCTACTTCTAGTTTCAACTTGTGAGGCTGATACCTGAGTTGTTTAGTCATTTGCATATCAGGTGGTTCCCACCAGCTTGAACTCAGGTTACTAACTTGCTGGTTTGAACTTCACTGTGCCTCACCTTGATACTGTGAGGCACTAGATGGAGCCAATCTGCAGCTGCTCTGAGTTTTAGTTCATTTGGCCCCTTGGCAAAATGGTGACCAACTAATCACTCTCTTCTAGGGGCATATGAACCTGGAAAAACTCACCAGCCAGTGCAGCCTGCAGCATCCATTGCTCGATTGCATTGACGTATTTTTCCATGCAGACCTCTGGGGGTTGCTAGTAGTCACTGTGCATCTGCAGGTTTGACCTGCCCCTTTCACACCACAAGCTGGGGCTCAGGAAGACAGCGTCACTTGCCACTTCCCTCTTCTCTGTTGAGGTTCCTCTCTTCACTTTCCCTGTGAGCTCAAATTCTCACTTCAGATTATTGCTAATCCTTCTCTTCGTCACATTGCTATATTCCAGCATCTGGAATCCAAATCTCAGACAGGCTGTGTCTCCACTGCTCACCACTCTGCCATCTTCCCAGAAGTCCCCAAAAGCATTTTATTTTAACTGTTTCTCTTACTCAGATGATCTTAATGTTCCCTTGAGACACCCAACACATGGAAATGGGGGTTTACAGGTGACACTGTGAGTTTCTCTCTCTGGAACTGATACCAGGTGGAACAGACATGATTCCAATGGCCAGGTAAACAGACATTAGTCAAATTTGTCTACTTTGGAGGCTTTTTACTCTCATCATACTGATGAACCTGGAGTGGGCTGTGGGCTTTTACATTTGATAATATGCTCTGTGCTTCCCTAAAATAAACCATTTGCCTATATACAGCAAAGACAGCTCAGTTCCTTTTGGACAACCCATGGGATGGTTAATAAGTGAGGGTCAGAATGCCCCTGGATGTGTAAGGTGAAACATTTCTCCATTGAATCCAGGACACTGAATGGAAAAATCATTGCTGTGAAAGTCTTTAAAGGTTTACTGATACCAATAAGGGAATAATTAATTGCCAACAATGAAAATTGAATGTGTACTTATATTTGAGCTCAAGACATATTGGTTTACTTGATAGAGGCCCAGAGCAGACTTAGAGGAATTTTAAACCCTTCCTTACAAAACTGCCCTTTCCATCCTTCCACCCTTTCCCACATACTCCTGTCTCATACATTTGGAGAAAATTTAGGAACAAATTATTTATTGTGTAGTTTCTACTCTCTCTATCACATAAAGTAAATTTACTGTGATACTAATGAAGCTTAAACTTAGAGGTACCTTCCTTGCCCAGGCACACAGTCATATATTTTACAATTTTTAAATATTTCAAGTGTAATTGGTGAAGACAACTGTCTCTCCTCTTGTCCCATTGGTTGGGTAGCAGAGTGGCTGTGGACTTGGGGTCAGGTCAAGGGAAGCTGAGCTGGGAGATATTTCATATGGGCTCATGGGATGTATGTGTATGGTTTGGGTAAACTCTGAAGATGGTTAAGTTATTGTGAGCTTTTCTGCTGGAGCAATTCCTTTCCCACCCAGTGCACACCCAGCATCACAATTAAGAGTGTGAGGCAAAGGCATCTCCCTGATGGGCACAACTGCAGTGCTTGATACCAGGTGAGTGAGTGTGTGGAGACCAAGTGTTGTGGAAGTACACACAGTCTTATGCTCTAAGCACCACAGTGTACAGGCATAGGCAGTGGACTCTGTGACTTTCCAGTACGGAGCTGCTAAGATGATGGGAAATGCATGGGGTTTCTAGAGCCCACATCTCTGGGCCAGTTCCCATGGGTTGTGGAAGATTTGCTGCTGGCCAGCAGCTGCCACTCCTCCACTTGATAGTGAGGAACATCACATCTTCTACTACATCTCCTAATAAAGGATGCTGAGAATGCTACATAAGTGACCCTGAATAGCTTTTCCACACTTCAGCTACAGAAAAACAATGAACCACTCCCACTTTGTACTGATAGGCTATCTGAAAGTTTTATAGGCACATGTTTGTTTAAATAAACCAGTCTTACAAGTGTAATTCTTACTTGAAATAGAAAAAAATCACTTTAATTTCTTACATATAAAACGTTAAATTTTAACTGTAACAAAGTATGAGTTCTTTTACAACCTGAATTTTTTTAAAGGTATACCCATTAGGGTAATGAAAAGAGGAGACAAATATTTTAAATTTTCATCTAATATTAGAAAACATAACAGTTTCTGTCTTTAATCTAATACAGCAAAGCAAACAAAAGTTCCATAGTAGTTATTTTATTTAAACTGGGTGTGGTGGCACATGCCTGTAATCCATGCACCTGGGAAGTTGAAGCAAGAAGAGCTACGTTAGAGGTCAGCTGGTCTACACAGTGAGTGCAATATTCACTCTAACCATAGAGTAACAAACTTTTCAATTCCTTCTGAAAAACAAGGTGGAGAAATCACTTATAGAACCTCAGATTATAGGTCACCTGTAAGATTGACAGTGAGATGCTTTATTAAAATTGTGTAAGAATCCTGTGAAAAAATAGGATGTCAAATTATTTTGGATTAAGATGTTGGCATTACAGTCTGTCCCCAAACTGTGTCATCTCATTAAGTCCTATGACTCTGGGCTCACAGATGGCCAAAAGCAGTAACACGCTTTGCAGCAAGCACAGACAACTCTGGGCTCTCAGCTGACCTGCCTGCACTGGTGCTCCAGGTTCTCAGCAGAGCACAGAGCCGGGTCTCCATCTCCCCAGAGTGTTGTTTCCAGGGTGAACCCTGTGCAGCATGGCCAACCCACGCCTGGGGCACGGGGTCCGTGAGGCTCAGCTTGGGGAAGGCAGCTTCCCCTCAACCAGGTGGCTCTACCGACTATTCAGAAAGCCCTTGGTGGATGGAACCTTCTGGAAAAGAGAAAGAGAGGAGGTCTGAATGATGACAGGAAGACACACATCACCAGTCAACCATGCTAATGCTGCAAAAGGATGAAGAAATTGGAAAGCAGCAGTTTGCAGAGCGCTCCTAGTATGCAAACCTGACAGAGTCCCGGGAAAGGCACTCTTCTCTTACCAGGTGCAGAGGGCTCTGCGATGAGGAGTCTGTGGCTGGTAAATGGCTCTGTGGAGTCTTGTTCTGCTGATCTCTCCTCCAGGTCTGACTCTGGGATTGGAGTACAGCCACCTATGTAAGAAATGCAGTGTTTCAAGCAATGTGGGAGAAGATGTGCCTCTCCACACAGTGCCGCAGTTTAGGAACATGCTAAGTGTAAAGATAATAAACAATGTGACAACAATGTCTGGGAGAGGACCGGGAGTGATCATTTTGTCTGCCTTTGGTGAAAAGGCTTGCCACCTCCACAGATAGGCAGAAGTGGTTAAGACCTGGCAACAGCATTAACAGTGTTGTCTCAAATTTATCCTTTTTTAAAAGTCAGAAATGTCAGAACTGGCTGGGTCTGGTGGCACACTCCTGTAATCCCAGCACTTGGGAAGCTGAGGCAGGAGGATTGCTGTGAGTTTAAGGCCAGACTGGGCTACACAGTGAATTCAAGGCCAGCCTGGACAATATAATGAGACTCTGTTAAAAAAAAAAAAAAAAAAAAAAAACACCTAACAAGAAAAAAACAAAGAAATGTCAGAAGTATAGCAAATGTAGCGTCCACGATATAAGAGGCCCTGGGCAGGACTTCTCCTTGATACCAGAACATCAGAAACCATGAGGAGAGAAAACACTCTCCTTGAGTGAGTGGAAGGCTGCAGGGCTCTTAGCGGGATGTCAGGGGCTCCTCTGGAATCTGACTGTCCTGGATGCAGCCCCCTGGCATAGATACCAGCCTTCCACAGAGTAGCAGCAGCCGTGAGCTGCACCGGGAATGCCAGGGCCAAAAGGCCAGGGGTGTCACCTGACTGTGGCCACCACAGATGTGTGTGGGGAGCTCGGGATCCTGCAAGTCTCCTGATTGCATCCACATTCTGACCTCACCCACCACCATTTCCTGGACACATGCTAACCACAGTGTACGTATCCTGCTTTTCTTGTTGGTGAAGTGGGTACTTCTCACACACTGAGTCCAGTACCCCAACACCCAAGCTTGGATTCACATGTAAGAAGGTTAAGGATGCTGATGACAGGCTGCAGGCAGCACAGATGGGAAGACCATGTTACCCCCATGGGAGGGAGTGGCTGGACCCCGGAGTGAAGGAAAGTTCCCCTGCACCCACCCTCTACATTCCTTCTGAAGAAAAACCAGATCCAAAGGAAAATGGGGAGAGAGGGATTCAGTGACCATAAAATAGGAATCAGCATAGCTGCAGAATCCCCAGGACAGAACACCCCTGATAACCCATCACGGGATGGTACTGCCCCCCATGTGTGGAGAGCAACGGCCCTATCAGGAAGGGAACCACACTAAGTTTTTACATGTATTTTTATTAGTGCTTATCAATTTTAGAACATACGGGGTTTTAGTGTGGCAATTTTGATCACATCCAGGTCCCCATTACCCCTTCACCCTTATTCCTTTCCCCCATCTAATAACAGTCTCTCCTCCACTCTCATTCCACCTTTCTGTTTGCTTTTGGCTTTTAGTTTATACCTATTAGGGAAAACTTGCAACATGTGTCTTTCTGAGTCAGGCTTATTTATTTATTTATTTAAAGTTTTTTTATTTTAAAGAGAGTAGTAAATGAGACACAAACAGAAAATAGAACAATAGCAGCATACCAGTATCACAAACATAAATCAAAGCAAGAACATTTAAAGTGATAGAGGGTTTTAAGACAAAATAATACAAATTAACAGTGGTTGTTATATTACATGTTGCTATCCTCAACTACGTTGTCTGGCGCCTGCCTGGCAAGTGCAAGGTCCTGAGTTCGATTCCCAGTAACCAAAAAAAAAAAAAAAAAGGCGGGCCAGGGATGTAGCTCAGTGGCATAAGGGCTTCCCTGGCAAGCTTGAGGTCATGAGTTTGATTTCCGGTACCAAAAAGAAAAAGGTTCTGGCTTATTTAGTTTAACATGGTAATCTCCAGTTCCATCCATTTTCCTGCAAATGACATGATTTTGTTCTTCTTTATGTGCTGCAATAAACATAGGAATCCAGGCTCCCTGCATAAGCTGACTTTAATTCCTTTGGGTATGTACCAAGGTATGGTACAGCTGGGTCATACGATTGTTCTATGTTTAGTTTTTTTAAAGACTCTCCATACTGATTTCCACAGTAGGTATACTAATTTACATTCCCACCAGCACTGTATAAGAGTTAAAGGGTTCCTTTTGCCCACACTCTTGTCAGCATTTTTGTTTTGTTTTGTTTTGTTGATGACAGTCATTCTGATGGGTGAGATGAAATCTCAAGGTAATTTTGATTTGCATTTCCCAAAGGGCGAAATTTTGAACATTTTTAATGTATTCTAGACATTAATCCTCTGTCAGAAGAGTAGCTGGCAAAGATTTTCTCCCATTTTAGGTATCTTTCTACTTTGCCCATTGTTTCCTTTACTGTGCAGAAACTTTTTAATTCAATGCAGTCTCGTTTACTGATTTCTCTGATCATTTATTGTGCTACTGAGGTCCCCTTCAAGAAGTCTCTGCTGGCAACTCAACTTTCAATTATTTTCCCTGCTTTCTTCTAGAAGTTTCAAAGTTTCAGGTCTTAAATCCAGATCTTTGATCAATTTTGAATTGATTTCTCCATAGGATGAGTGGGATCTAGTTTCATTCTTCTACGTGTGGACGTCCAGCACCTTTTATTAAAGCATCTGCCTTTCTTCCAGTGTGTATTCAGTGGTCAGTTCTCACTAGCCAGTGTGAGCCAGTGGCCACACTGAAGGTGAGGTGGGCTTGGGACTGGGCTTTGACGCCTGGATTCACACCATGGCTCAGCATCTACTAACTGAACAAGCCCTGAATAAGCTTTTCAGTGAGGTCAGCCTTGATATCATCTCCAGAACAGGAATCTTAGCAGCGCGACTTCACAGAGAGGAGCAGGCGAGTGTGAACAGTGCCTGCACACTGAATCATCAGCAGGTTCTGATGATTTTCAGGTCAAAGTTAGGAGGCCCAAAAAAGGGGTAGGATCACTAGGCCAAGCTAACATCCTGGGGTGGGGTCTGGAAAGGTAGGATTCCCACAGACTGATGGACCCCAGACCAAAATGCAGCTCCCTAGCAAGAGGGTGGGGCTCAAATCTGAAACTCAGAGCCACCTGGGCGTCTATTCCACTCCCTCAGGCCCCACCTGGTCTCTCCTGCCGCTGGGGCCGCCTGGTGCTCACACTTGATTCTTTGCCAGGTGAATCCTGGGGCGCAGCCCCGCCTCACGCCCAGCTCCTTGCTGTCTACTCAGTACCTCAGCCAGGAGTGGCCAGACTGACATTTCCGGGTGCTGCAGGCCCTCTGGTCCTGGTGCCACTGCTTGGCTGTGCCCCTGCTGTGCAAAAGCAGCCACAGTCAGTGTGTCAGCGTGAATAAGCACTGGTGACATTTCAGTAAAACTATGTACCCAAACAGCTGGTAGGCCGGATTGGGCCAGTCATCATGAGTAGTTTGCGATCCTCCCCCAACAAGGGTTAAGGAAAGCTGTTGTAAAAATGCTGGTTCCAAGGTTCCTAGAGGCATTCAGCACTGCCAGATGCCCCATCTTATAGGATTGACATCAAATTATCTCATAGTGTTAAAATAATATGCTTAAAGGCATCATTGAGTCAGGCATTCTGGCTCAAACCTACAATCCTGCAATCTGGGAGGCTGAAACAGAAAGATCACAAGTTCAAGCCCAACCTGGGCAACATAGTACATAGCAAGACCACGTCTCTAAAAAAATAAAAAGGGCTGGGGATATAGCTCAGTGTGAAGGCCCTGGGTTCAAACCCCAGTAAGGAAAAAGAAATACATATAGACATAAAAGCAAAGCTGGGCATGGTGGCATATGCCTATAATCCCAGTACTGGGGAGGCTGAGGCAGGAGGTTCATTGCAAGTTCAAAGCCAGCCTGGGCTACACAAGTGAGTTCAAAGCCAGAATAAACTGCATAGTAAGACTCGCCTCAAAAAAAAAAAAAAACAAGGACATAAAAGCAAAAGCATTACTGTCTGCCCTACTGCAACACGTGCTCTTTTTTTGTAAGGGCAGTGATAAACTTTTTCTTGTGTAGATTTTATTTTTAGAACAGCTTTTGTTATATAGAAAAATTTAGCGGACAGCACAGAGAATTCTCACCCACCCTCCCTGTTACTAGCATCTTTCATTAATGGGGTGCAGTTGTTACAATCATGAGCTATATCGGCGCACTACTATCAACTTGAGTCCACAGTTTATTCAGAGTCCCTTTGTCTCTACCTGATGTCCTTTCAGGATGTGACCTGACTGTCAGGCCTTCTTTGGCTCCTCTCAGTGCTGACAGTTTTCTCAGGTGTTTCTCATTTTTGAAAGCCTGGGCACTTAAGAAGAGGTCATATGTACTGTAAGATGCCCTTCTACTGGAATTGGTCTAATTTTCTCTTATGATTCTACTGGGGAACTGTTTTCTCAGGTTTCTTCTCCTAAGTCTTCGTGTTTCCATATCTTAAGGTGGTCTCCCTTCCTC